GCTTCTTACTGATTGGGACTATGTCACTTTATGGGCAATGGCCTAATTCACTATGACAATAATATACTTAAAAGATTAGGGCAACTTTTACATATAGCAAACAAAAAATTTATAGTTGTATGCTATAGCAAAGTTTACGTAATTGCGCTCCATAGCAAACATAAAACTGTATAATTCGCTATACATATACAATTATATAATTCGCTGGCCAATTTCGCTGCAATTGTATAATTTGTTTTGCATACAGTTGAATCAAATTAAAATGTATGTATATTGCATAATTATAAGTGTATAGCAAGAAGATATATGTTTTTCTCGCTTTATACAAAAACAGAAACACATTATATACACTTCTGTTGTATAAAGCTAGATAAAATTGTATTTCACTGCAATTGTATAATTCGCAATTGTATAATTAGTTGGCCTTTTTCTCTGCAATATTTGAAGTAAAATGTTTGTAAATTGTATAATTAAGTGTATAACATGAAGATATACATTTTTGCATGTGTATATACAATTTTCTCTCGCTTTATACAAAACAGAAACAGAATTATACACTTCTGTGTATAAAGCGAGAGAGGCGAGCGAGAATGGAGAGTGGCGAGCGAGATTTTTGGGAGAGAGACGCTGGCAAATTTTTCTAACGTTTGGTATGGAGCACAATTAAATCAAACCCTAGCTATTCCATTTAATTTAGGTTATTAGTTTGCTATTATATACAATTTTCCCTAAAAATATTATTAGGAAATTTTTTCAAAATGTTAATATTTTAACATTTAAGAGGATTTATTAGCAATATTTTTAAGGGCAACTTTCACATATATCAAACAAAAAATTCATATTTGTATGCTATAGCAAAGTTTGCATAATTGTGCTCCATAGCAAACATAAAACTGTATAATTCGCTATACGTATACATTGTATAATTCGCTGGCCTAAATTGTATAATTCTTTGGTCTATTTCGCTGCAATTGTATAATTCACTATCCTATTTCACTGCAATTGTATAAATTCGCTGTCTATTTCGCTGCAATATTTGTATAAAATTTGTTTTGCATATAATTGAATCGAAGTAAAATGTATGTATATTGCATAATTATAAGTGTATAGGAAGAATATATATGTTTTTCTCTTGCTTTATACAATAACAGGAACACGATATATACACTTCTGTTGTATAAAGCAAGAGAAAATTGTATTTCACTGCAATTGTATAATTCGCAATTGTATAATTCGTTGGCCTTTTTCGCTGCAATATTTGTATAAAATTTGCATTTGTCTACAATTGAATTGAAGTAAAATGTTTCTAAATTGTATAATTAAATGTATAGCACGGAGATATATGTTTTTGCATGTGTATATACAATTTTTTCTCGCTTTATACAAAACAGAAATACAATTTATACACTTCTGTGTATAAAGCGAGAGAGGCGAGTAGAGGGAGAGTAGCGAGCGAGAATGGGAGAGTGGCGAGCGAGATTTTTGGGAGAGAAGCGACTGGCAAACTTTGACTAACGTTTGCTATGGAGCACAATTAAATCAAACCATAGCTACTCCATTTATTTTAGGTTACTAGTTTGCTATTATATACAATTATCCCTATTTTTAATATTTAGTAAAAATATCAAAAATTTAATTTGTTATGTATCTTATTTACATTTTTATTATTTGTTTTTATTTAAAGAATAAAATTATTTAATAGCAAAAGGGAGAAAATCAAGGGAGAGAATAAAGGTAAAAATATTTAATTTTCTCATCAGTTATATTTTCAAATAAAACTCAAACTTTGTTCCTTTCTTTTTCTCCATAATTTTAATCTTTTTTTTATTAGTCATTCCAATAGGTATGTAAAATGAATTTATAGTTATTTAAGAAACATATTTGTATTTATATATTTTTTTCATGTGTATTTATTTGTTTCTTCAAAATTTTGTATTTCGTATTTATTTCTATATGTATTTTGTTCGTATTTCTATTTATTCTAGTTTTTATTTAGAATATTGTATAATAATATATAAAATACAAAAAAGCAGTATAATGAAAAAGTGAGATAATAGTTTTTAGAGAAGGAACATATCACTTAAAATTCTCATCATTAACAATTTCAAAAATAAAAAAACTCCTTTTTCGTTCTATTAGATCAACTTTCCTTTGTTATGTTTTCATTTTAATTGCAAACCAATATTTTTTACATTCTATGTGCTCACTTTATCATTCAAATTCAAATTAATTTTTTTCTTTTAAACTATAAATTGTATTCCGGTGATCAAAATTATATTACTTGATTATCATATATATATACACGTATCTCAATATGTATGAATATAATTTATGAAAGGGTACAAGATTTTTAGGGGAAAATAGCATACTTGGTGGAAATAATAAATTTGTTGAGGAAGGATATAATATTCTAAAAAAATAAATACAAATTGACTATGAAAGAAACAAGAATACAAGATTCTGGAAAACATATAGCATGCATAGTAAAATAATATAATCAATATACAATATTCTAAAAAAAATACAAATTAACTGTTAAAAAACAGGATACATATATGTTTAAGAAATACAAATTCATATGAGATAACATACATAGTGAAAATGATATAATCATAATACAATATTCTAAAAAAAATATAAATTGACTGTTAAAAAATACATCTATGTTTAAGAAATACAAATTCATATAAGATACGTATTTGAATGACTACAAATAAAAAAGAAATACAATATTCTTAATAAAAATACAAATGATGAGTAAAAGAAAAACAATTGACAAATAAAAATTAATATGAATATTATTCTGATATGAATACAATTTCGCAACTTTCTTCTTTGACTCTCTCTTTCTTCTTCGTCTGCTATGTTTCTTTTTTCCAAATCTTTTCACCAAATTCAAATCTGAATCTGTGTTTATTTGTGAATTAATAACACTATAAGCAAAATTTGAAATTATTAAATATGAATATATATATAAAAAAAAATCAAACAATATATTATGTATGAATGCTTATGTGGCTTACTACAAATTACAATCTACTAAATCTCAAATATGAAAATAAAATCATAAAAATAGTGTTTCAAATACTAAAATTCTGAAATGCATAAATATTTGATGAGTATGTTAACAAGCTCATATAAAAATCGAAAAAATGACGAAAAAATTGTAATACATACAATCCAAATTCAACATAATTTTTATTTCGAAAACAAAATCTTATGAAATCTTGCAAAATAAAAGATGATTACGAAAATACATTTATTTATTGAGAGATTTCTTGAATTAATCGATAATTCTGAACAAATTGATATGAATTTGAATAATTAGTTCTTCTTCAACAATGAGAGAATAATGATGAAAATGGTAAAAGAGATTTTTTTAAAAAAAAATCTTAAAGATGGAAATAAATATAATGGTATTAAAGTCTAGAAGAAGTCTAAATGTATAGTGAATATATAATGTTGGACTGTTTTGAGAAATAAAAGGAAAGATAAATAATAGTATTACAAATTATTTTTAAAATATTGACATTTTGACTAAATATTTTAAACTGTAGATGTTTTTACTAATTAAGTTAGGAATTATGACTACTTTACTAATTTTTCTTTATTATTATTATTATTATTATTTTATGGACAACTTTCACATATAGCAAACATAAAACTCATATTTATATGCTAAAACAAAGTTTGCATAATTGCGCTCCATAGCAAACACATATATGTATGATCCGCTATACATATACAATTGAAGCGAATTGTATAAAACGAAGTGTATAAAACAAGAAAGAGAAAGAGACTTAGGCAGAGAATTGTTTAAAACGAAACATATAAAATGATGTATAATTATAAGTGTATAGAACGATTATATACAATTTGAATTTGTACAAAACGAGAAAGGGAGAAAGGCAAAAGAGACTTGGACAGGGAATATACAATTGAATCGAATTGTATAAAATAAGAAAGAGAGAAATTATATATAATTTGAATTTGTATAAAACGATAAAGATAGATAGACAAAAGAGACTTGGGCAGGGAAATACTTTTATTATATATTATAAGTGTATAAGATGGAGATATATGTATTTGCATGTGTATATATAATTTTCTCTCGCTTTATACAATTAGAAACACAATTTATATAATTCTATTGTATAACGCGAGAGAGGCGAGCGAAGGAAGCTAGCGAGAGAGGGAAAGTGGCGAGCGAGAATACGAGGGAGAGAGGGACTGACAAACAGTTTGTTATCACAAATAAATCAAACGGTAGCTACTATATTTATTTTATATTATTAATCTGTTTTTCTATACAATTATCCCTTATTTTATTGGGTCTTCTTTATGGAATTACTATCCCACTATTTTTGTACAATTGGTGGGATAAAATAATGTTGGAAGTAATTAATGTTTGTAACCAAACATGAAATAAAGTTAATTTCAAATTCTATTCAATTTTTGAGATTATTATTCTGATCTCAAGTATTAAACATCAATAATTATGTGTACCGTATTACTTAATACTAAATGATGCTAATGATCAGTATGGACTACCAGAACAAGCTCTCTTTTCATTTCCTTTGTCCTACCGCCACTACAATCGCTGTCTTTATGTTTTTAAAGATATCAAATCCAAAAAATTAATAAAAATCGCTCGTTTGACATCTATACACAAAATCAAAATAAATTTTTGAGCAGGGAGTGATATGGATTATGAAAGATCGAGTTTGAATAATCACTTAAGACTTGTTTTATAATGCTATTGATGTGCATATTTTTGTAGTTAGAAATTGTAATTAGCAAACTATATCTATTAAGTTATTTATGTGCGGTTATATGCAATTTTTTTCTTTTTCTTATTTTAATATATAAGAGCCTGAAATAACCTTAAACTATGAGATTTGGTACAATATTATTCTACTGTCAACATTTATGAGATATATACAATTGAAAATAAAATTTTTTTTAGCCAAAATATTAACGAGTTAAAAAGTGGACGGAGAGTAATATTATAGCAGGGGCATTTTAGGTCCTTCAACCCTTCACATGTTGGGAGCTTAAAGCGGATGTTAAAGTAATTGAGCCACCACGCGGAGAGGAAGACAAAAATGGCGGATCAATTGAAAAACCCTAAGAAACAGTTTCAGCTAAATCCCAACTGGGCTCAGCTCCGTCAAGTATTCTCTCTCTGTTTCTAACCAAGTTTATTTTGTAATTTATTTGTGATTAAGCACTCAATTTCTTTGTTCTGCAGCAACTCAACAGCAATGGCTTCCAAAAACAACTGTCAAATCCTTCAGAAACAGAAAATCCTAATTCCATATTAGGTATATCTCCATTTTTATAATTTTCTTTTTTTTTGGTTCTGAGTTGAGTTTTTTTGGTTGCTATTGTAGGAAAGCGCAAAAGCAGGCCCAGTGATGATTCCGGAGATGCTACGCCTAATCCTCTTACTCCAACTTCATCGGATTCAAGGTGAGTATTAAAAAGGTCTTTTTTTTTGGGTCAGCGTACATTATTTGCTTAGATACACCTTTTATAAAAGATAATAAGAAACTCGTTTAGTTAGGATTTTTATCTACAACACCTGAGTATGTGTGATCTAAATCAAGTTACAATAGATAGTGACTGAAATTGAAGGAATAAGAACGTACAACAGCAATGCTACAATTAGTACTACGGAACGATAAGTGAAACCTATGATGCTCGAACTCTTTAAAAATGTTAGTGGCTGCGTGTTGGATTCTCCAAAGTAGTGTATTTTTGGCAGAAGTCGACGCGGGTGCAACATCAAAGTGAAGAGTCTGCCTAACTTTGAGTGAGTTCTAGTCTGCGTCCTCCATAATCTTCTATATTCTGTATGAGGTTATGTCCTCGGTAAGCTAAAGCTGCACCATGTCCTATTTAATAACCTTTTCCTCAATACTTTTTGGCATAGCACCGACCACTACCTCTCCTGAAACCATCTATAAAGCCAATCTCTCACACCTTCGCATTGAGACATCCGTGCATCTTCTCTAAATATGTCCGAACCATCTTAAATTTGCCTCCTATATCTTGTCCTCCACCCCTCCACCAAGGCCGCTCCCACCTTGTCGTGGATATCTTCATTTCTAATCTTAATTCTCCTTGTATGCCTGCGTATCCATTTTTGCAATTTCCATCTTCTGAACGTGAGGGTTGTTTACTTTCTTTTTATTTTTTAATAAAATACATTCTAGTGTGCTTATAGCAAAAAATACAACTTAATTTTTATAGGATGCACAGTCATCTTTCAGTTCCCATTTAGGTCCATCGTTGTAAGTAATCTGATCATACGAGTAAAAGAGCCCATCATTTGTACATAGCCAATAAATATTTGTCGCGCTTGAAGTGTCTCGTTGTGGATCAAATGCTTGAAAACATGAAATTGGAGGACCATGGTGTAGTTTACAAAAGTAGGCAACATTTGCTCCTTGCAACACAGTCAGTCTAACTACCACTTAGTAGAACTTGCCTTAAATTTCTTGGTGGCATATTTTAGTCACACAAGACTCTGGAAAAGCTTATTTTCAATAAGTTATGAAATGATAACTATACCTAAATTTCTATGTTATTTTAACATTTGCAGGAAATTAGAAAGATTTTATTTTTAACTGGTCACAACATTAAAATACAGTCGAAATCTCACTTTTCTATTCTTATTTAAGCCTCCTCGAGTTCAAGTCTGATTGAGTATTTTTTTTTATTATTAATTGGATAATTATTTTATTACTGTTCAATAATTTAATCGTTAGCTCCATGACAGTGTTACAGATGTGATAGGGATGGATTGTGAAATGGTTGGCGTAAGCTCTGTGGGAAACAGAAGTGCTCTTGGGCGAGTCACACTGGTATTCAGTCTTACTTTCTCATTTACTTAAATACTGGTGATTTTAAAACATATGTTACTTCACTACATTTGACAAATGGTTTTACTAACAATTGTTTCAGTTGCTTCCCCAGTTTAACTTGATGCTTTTGATTATTAGTTACAAGCTTCTATTGCACTATGATTTTCATAACTAAGCTGTTTATATCCTATAATAAATTCTCTTCTTGCTGTTTTTTTGCCTTCTGAGCATATGCCACACACAGAATTATAAATAATTGTTTGTTTTTATGGGTGCTTGTGAACTTATAGTACACTAATTATTGATGTCGCTATATTAAAGCTTCATCTTGTTTACCTATAAAACATAATTTGCCTTATTTTGATTATTCGGGTACATTCCATTAGTTCTTCTGTGTATTTGAACCTACAATTTTCTTGTAAGCTTGTTTGTTCGTCTTATACATGAACAGTTAAATGGAAACCAGTTAATTGCAGGTCAACCAATGGGGAAATGTGATATATGACGAATATGTTCGTCCAGTTGAACGTGTTGTTGACTTCCGCACCAAAATCAGTGGTATTAGACCTCAGCACTTAAAGAAAGGTTGGTTTCACTTCACCCCTTACATTTGAAAAGATACCAACAGAAGGAAAAGTTTTTAGTCTGGTCTCTTGAAAGAATAATGACTACAAAAAAAACTATTCTTGCTAAAGAAGCAGAAAATTGAAAAACATTTCTTTTATTATACTTTAGCATGTTAAGTTGGGTCATCTGAGAAGCAGCGTGGTGTTAATTTAGCACGTTAAGTTGCAGCTGTTTTAGAAGCATTGTGGAATTTTCTCGCTCCTATTCTTCTAATTTTGATGCTTAATGGTTTTCCATTTGGACGGCGAAATGAATGTACTATCACGTGTAGTCAGAATGGAAATTTAAGCTCTTTTAAGAATGTTGACATGAGAAATTCCCATCGGCCATCACAGTGCTCACAGATCATCAACATATTTTAGTAGGTGTTTGTCCATGTTTCTTTGTGAATGAAAAAAAGTAGTTTTTGTTTTCAAAATGAAAAACGATATTTAGAAATTAGAGTTGTGTTACTTTAACTTCATAAAAGAAAAAAGACATTAGAGTTGTGTTTTTTTTAAAATAATTTAGAGTTGTTTTGAATTTTTGCGAGTAATTGGGAGTTAAAAAAGCGAAATTGTTGTTTGTAGTGGAAAAAAGTATAATAATTTCATGGCCAAATGCCTTAGAATTTGATGTTCTGGAATTTTAACTAATTGTTATTAAAGATTTTGAGTCCATCTCATTTTCCTGAAAGAGAGTTCAATGGCTCGTGCACATTCAAGCTACAGAGGTTTGTCCAGAATGCATGAGAGGAAGTTTGGCTAAATGCCCTGAGGGATTCAATATAAGTTTAAAATAAGTAGGGGCTGTGTCCAATGTCCATCAATCTCTAACTAAAGGATAAGTTTGTTTCCATTTCTTTTTGATTAGAAGATTTGTATATAAGAAAATTATATTGCAATCTTTGTTGGACAACATCACTAGTTAATGGTTCAAAGTTGAATAGACTGTCAGTTTATTTCTAATCTGTAGGTTTATATTTTCAATTTGGATTAATTGTTTTTAGCAGTCAGTTTGAAGTTTGACTAGGTGTTAGTTTGACTTCGATCTGGACAAGTATTTATGGACAGTGTAATTCCATTTTTTTGATACTTTCTGCAAGTTATATGCTCAAACCAATATCAAAAACATTTTGTTTGGTTTGTGGTTTGCCCAAGTAATGTGCTCTTCTGATGTCATCTGCAGCAAAAGATTTCCGCGTTGTTCAGAAGGAGGTGGCAGAACTAATAAAGGGACGGATTCTTGTTGGCCATGCTCTGCGAAATGATTTTAAGGTATCTGCGCACCTTCTCAGACTTTGCATCTAGAGTACTTTCTATGACTAAATTGGAAATGTTTCCTGTACAGGCCTTGTTATTAGGCCATCAAAAGCAGGATATTCGTGACACTTCTGAATATAAGCATTTTCTAAGGTAACCTTCGCACCCACCTCCCCACCAAAAAAGAAATTCTTGATTACTTGCAACTTTCAACTTCTAGCTTGTATTTTGGCTGCAATACATTGCTGACATTGGGCTGATAAATTAGGGAAGGACGCAGTCGTGCACTACGGAACCTTGCTACTGAAGTCCTTGGAGTGGAGATACAAAATGGAGAGCATTGCCCAGTTAGTTCTATGCTTTTTAATGACTTCATTGTGCTCTTTTCCTTTCGTTTCTAGTAGTTTCTCCTTCTAAACAGTGGAATCCTTACTGTATGTGCTGTAGTATACTGTTATGGACCTCCAAGTATTATCTTGTGTTTGAATTTGGCTTTACAGGCTGAATCTAAAAAAGAATTCAATCTTGTAGCAGCATGACAGTTGATTATATCCTAATGAATTCTAACATGTATCACATCTGCATATTTTGCAGATAGAGGATGCCCGTGCTGCTATGATGCTTTACCTAAAGCACAGAAAAGAATGGGAAAAGAGCATCAAGGACTTTGCAAGACTGAAGGAGAAACAGAAAAAGCGTAAACCAAAGAAAAAAAAGAGGAGTTTGAGAAGACCTGCGTCTGAATAATGCTTCCTAATGAGAGATGATCACTCCAGCTTATCTCGTTGCTCGGGACATGTAACAATTTACTGATTAGGGTTGGAGCAGACAGAGAACTGACTAAACATGATAAATGATTGTTGTGGATGTGAAATGCTCAAAGGAAGAATTATAATTAGATCCTCTCTCTCTCTCTCACACACACACTATCATGGCGTGCCAGAACTTTGTGCTCGCCAGACCTTATTATTCAGTTTCAAGAATCATGACATGGATCCAACCAAGACTGGTTCTGCTAGTGAAAGGAGGAACACATCATCTCTTTTGTGGCTTTTCACTGCAAAACTGCCAAGCTTTTGTACTAGATTCATATATCCTAAGCCTTCCTGTTGGCGCTTTTCTAGAGTTGTGATTACAATTCTGGATTTTTTTTGCTCACAACATTCGTTCCTCAGTAGGGCTTTTATTTGATTTTGATTGAAGTTCTAGCTACAGAAGAGCTTGTATCATGTGAAAAAATATTGGACCAAGGAGTTACTGTGATTGTAGTTGAAAAGTGGTGATAGTCTACTTAATGAAATTGCAGATCATTGTTATATCTCTACTTCTGTCCTATAGTTGATCTTATGCTTGCTATACCAAAAAAATCATCAGACAATTATTTAAGAAGTATGTGGTCATAATTACATATTGAATAGGTTTCCTTCTGTCTTGTCAAAGGAATCAATTTTTTTTCTCTAAAAGATTCGAGTCAACAAAGCTGCAATTGGACTCCTAACAGAGTACTTGGTAGATTTCCATTTCAAGAATCCTTCAACCTCAACAGTGCCTGATGATCGATTGACTATTTGAGTAAACGTTAGAATCTCTCCAAAATCCAATGTTTGAGTAGTGTGCAAAGACAACACCCTTTGAGGTCGCGCTGAAATGAATCCTTTTTTTCATCTCCATTTCTTTCAATTCTCCATCCAACTGCAAAACCTTTAATCACATTATAGTACGCGTAAACCATACGATGTATCTTGGCTATAGTTGTTGGCAAAAATGAATGGTACCAACTATCTAAATTTCATTGTTGATAATGTACTACGAGTAGAAATTTGATTATTTGGAGATTCAACTTGAACAATGTAAGTTTCCAAATTAGTGGCCATTGTTGAAAATAAAGAATTAAAGATTATGAAGAGTAAAAGAAATCCCATCTTTGATCAAGAATTGATTATTTTTGTAAATATTATATATAAACTAAGAAAAAATTTTGTTGGTGTAGTTTGATTGGATCTATAATGTATCATTATTTTTCCTTTTTTTTCTTAAAAAAAATAATTATTTGTCATATATGACCATTTTTTTAGACTATCTACTCTAAGAATATGTTTTTCTTCAAAAAATGTGATTTTTTGAATTTGTTTGTCATACATGACCATTTCTTTGAGACCTAAGAATACGTTTTTCTTCAAAAAATGTGATTTTTATTTATGTTTCGTGAGTAAGTAGAAAATATTGATTGGATTTTGGAACATGTGGGGAGGAGGGCTATGGAGGGTGGGGGAGTATGTTCTGTTAGTCATTTTTATCATTTTTACGGAATATGTGTTGACCGTAAACAAAAAATGTTAGGTGATTCTTCTCATCTGTCCTAGACCTGGTAATCATGGTTACCATATACTTGTTATTGATGGAAGGTAATAGATATCCCATAAAATTAATCGATCTACATGAAAGTTGATTTGAACACCACGATCGTTAAAAAAATATGTTTTTCTACTATAAATAAATATTTTTTAAAGAAAATTGACCAATTAAACAAAAACATTTTTTATTTTCCTGCCTACCAAATACACCATTAAATGCCTTATTTGATTTCTTTTGGTTATTATAACAGTATTTGACATAATTTGAACATAAGTGTTATTATTATGAACTAATGTATGTTAAATTATTTAAAAATCTAAGTAGTTATTGTTCGACTTTTATTCCTTTTATTATTCTTGGAGGTCGTATGCGGTTGACGGAGTAGTAAAACACATAAAGAGAATAATTCATATAAATTGACAAAGATTAAGAAAAAATTAGAAGGCTTATTATTCATATAAAATTGAAATATAACTCTTTAAGTTAGTAAACAAATTAAAGTCTTAAGCCATAAAGCATTTTCAACCATCCCATTTTTAAGAGAAAATTATATATGATAGCAAAGTATTAATTTAAATTAATAATTATAGACATAGTTTGATTTAATTGTACTCTATATTAAATTATTGCTATTTTCGCTTCTCCCAGGTGGAATCTTGTTGTCAATCTTGTTTTGGTGACAATGTTGCTCGTCTCTCTCGCTATTATACAAACATAAATGTATAAAATATGTTTGTGTTTATATAAAGCAAGAGAAAATTGTATATATACATATATTTTCTTTTCCCTCTCCGCTCTCCCCGATCTCGCCTGCCATTCTCTCAAATCTCATTCGCCACTTTCACTTTATATAAACACAAATACATACATTGTGTTTGTGCTTGTATAAAGCGAGAGAAAATTGTATATACAAATGCAAAATACATATATGTTCGTCCTATATACTTATGATTATACAAGTACAATTTATCCCTACCCAGTTTTCTCTTGTCTTTCTCGCTTTTTACAAACACAAATTATACAATTGATCTTTTGTATATGTATACCAAAATAGATTATACAATTGGTATACCAAAATAGATTATACAACTGCTTTCTTTTGTATATGTATAGTGAATTATACAAATGCTTTTTTTATATATGTATAGCGAATTATACAACTGTTTTCTTTGTATATGTTAATGAAATATACATATTTATATTTGCTACGAAACACAATTATGCAAACTATAGTTATATCATACACATATAAATTTTATACTCGCTATATGTGAAAGTTACTCTATTTTTAATTAGAAATTTTAAATTCTAACGATGATCGATTTTAGGAAGCGTTTTATTTCTAATAAAAAAGAAATCGAAAGAAAAAGACAAATAAGCCCCTAGGTTGCAATACTTGCACTTTTGAGAAGCAGCCACGGTGCCAATATTTGTCTGTGCGGATAAAATAGCAGACACGTCCTCTTCACTCTCCCCTTTTTTGCATGTACACTCTTTCACTGAACCATTCAACAATATGCATCCATTTTCCCCAAATCACTGAATTTGCTGCTCAATTTCTTTGCAAAACAATGATCCGATTGAGATATCGGAGGATTGAGATTGGTACTGGTGATGGAGGAATTTCGAATTTAGGTTTTGGCAAAAGAGGTATTGTTACAAGCTGTAGAGCTGTGTTGTTGCCGCGATTTGGTGGACCGGAGATGCTTGAGTTTCGTGACAATGTATCTGTTCCTGATCTAAAACCTAATCAAGTGCTTGTTCGTGCTCGTGCTGTTTCAATCAATCCGCTTGATACCAGAGTTAGTTCAATTATTTTTATTTTCCAATTTCATTTGTTTATTATGATTGATTGAAAATGTAGAGTGAAATTTACCTGTAGTATAATTTCATGTTGGTATTTGGAACTTATGTGTTTTTCAGCTGAGAAATCGATTTGTCTTGTTGGGATAATTATATGAATTCTATATGATTTAGACTATTTTTATGTTGGCTGTCATTTGCCTTAACCTATAGTTAGTTCAATGAGTGAATGGTGAAAAGCACACCTAAAATATTCAGTTTTTTGACTTTCATGACTATCACCAAATGTTTTTTTAAACACACCTCAGTTATCCGTTGTTCACTTTTTCTATTTGAAATATCGCCTTCGTTCGGATAGGAAAAGTTAACAACTGATAGTTGAGGTGTGTTATAATAAACATTTGGTAATAGTTAAAGTAGGGAACTCACATGCCGGATAGTTCAGGTATGAAACTCAAAAAGTCAAAATTTTGATCCTTCTGATTAGGAACGTTACCTAATTGACCTATAGTACAATTTTTTGTTGGTAATTGAAACTCAGTGTGTTTTTCAGTAGATATGTTTAATCCGTTATACCTCAATTTCTGTCTGGTTAGGATGATTATATGAATCATCTCTTATTTAGACTATGTTTTGTGCTGGCTGTCATTTCTGCTTTATTTTGTGTAGGACCAACTATACTTTTAACAAACTTAAATAGTTGGAGTTGTCTGACAATCTCAGAAAATTCAGGCGGGTCCATACAATGTGCTTGAGGTTGAAGGTGAATAGAGGGAAAGGGGACATGTGAAAAAATTGTTTAAGTTGGGGAAAATTTTTGTGCATTTAAGACCTAGCGATCTATGGTTTTCATTTCTTTCTTCCTTTTGTTTTTCTCTGAGAAAGCATAGACTTCCATTTTAGAGAATTCTTGAAGTAATGATCTCTTAAACATAGTGGAGCATCTTTGATCTATGTAATTGATCCCTTAATTTTCTTTGTTTATGCACCACAAGGCAGTTGTTGAATAAGTAAACCACTTCTTAAAGTTGATTATGAACAAAGATTTTTCTGATCGTTCATTTATAATAAAAAATAAAGGTATAAGAACTTGTTTCACAGAAACCATGCTTCCAGATGAATACAGTATGAAGGGAGTGCAATGCAGATAACATCTAAAATAAAATGTCTTATATTTTTCTCGTCTACAATGATTCTGTACATGCGTCAATTCAATGTGGAACGATATTAGTTTGGCGGATACCATTCCGAATTTTTTAATTCTACTATTAAGAGCTGGTAATAGTTATAAAGCTTGTGCAAAGGTTTCCTCTCAATACTTTGAACTTATTTGTTCCTGGGAAGCTATGCCATAGAAATTGTGATCACAAATTCATCTTCACATTATTTTGCGTTGAGCATTTAGTAGATGCTTTAATATGTTTCAGATGCGATCAGGCTATGGACGTTCAATTTTTGAACCACTTCTACCATTGATTTTGGGCCGAGATATAAGTGGTGAAGTTGCAGCTGTTGGAAATTCTGTCAAGTCACTTACAGTTGGGCAGGATGTATTTGGTGCTCTGCATCCAACCGCTGTGAGGGGTACTTATACTGACTATGCTATTCTTGCGGAAGATGAACTTGCTCCAAAGCCGGGATCACTTTCACATGTGGTATGTTTTCTGTTTGGTTACATTTAGTCAGACCAACTTCCTATGAATACTTTTCTGCTCTAAATAATTTTTCTGGCTATTTGCGATCAGTTATAAAATCAGTGTCTATCTTGTTTCCTACTCCTTATACTGTTACTTTTATTGGATGCCCTCTCCACCCCTCAGCCTGCTGATTAAGTTATCAATTTCTGAAATTCATTGTTGTTGGATTAATATCCCTGTCAATTTTCACTCTTGTTATCTGCATCCTGTCACATCACATATCTTGTTTTTTTTACTACTTTAGCATGCTAAGGTTCTATATGTTGTTCCGCAGGAAGCCAGTGCTATCCCTTTTGCTGCTCTAACTGCTTGGCGTGCGCTAAAAAGTACTGCCAGAATAAGAGAGGGGTATGTTTTTATCAGATAGGTTAAATTTTTTCATCAGTGAAATAATTCTCTTTTCTCCATCTCTTATCACCCTTTGTGAAGGAGATGCAGGATGAAAGTAGTCTGTACTTCTACATCCAGTACTGGAGATGTGATTAATACGCACAATGTATGAATCTGACATCATCAGTTAGACTTGAATAATTACCTCTGAGAAAAAGGAAGTAAAATCTATGGCCTATGCAAGTATTACCATGCCATGAAAAGTAGTAATTTAGGAAGGTTTTCCTCTGCAATTATATTGCTGAGTCATAAGCATTTTCTAAAATTGTTGTGCATTTAAATTCTGAATTTCTGTTTTCCTGGGTTTGGCAGCAGACAGTTTCCACTTATAAAGAGGTTAACAGCTTCTAGGAAATTATGATCATTGAACTTTTTAAGCATGGCATGTGAGTCAAAGTATTTTAAGGGATTGAAACTTTACGACTATTTTGTGTTTTTCTTCATCAAATTACTTTTCCCACTTAGTTTTGGCGAAACACTGAAGTGATCAATAGATAAAGTTATTTACTGGGAGGTCTATGACCAACATTATATTCTTTCGAATGTAATTATGTAATAATGATTCTTACGTTGGAGTGTATATAAACTTTTGTAACTTGGAATTGCATAAAGAATTAAGTTCAAAAAACATTTATGTCGGGCATAACGGGAAAACGTGGAGTTGCTCTAATGCTGCTGAACAAGACTATCTTGTTCAGCAGACGAAATTGGTCAAAAGGATGGCTTTTCCTTTTTCTTTGAGAAACAGGATGTGGATTCATATGGATTGAAAACCTTAGCATATAATACTTGCTATTTATTGCTTATGTATATAAAATAATATAGCAGCTTACCTATTTATTGGGGGTAGCTGTTCAGTTCTTAGGTTCTGGATAAGTGTTCACTACACACCAAACTGAATTAGTTCAGTTTGGTGTTTCTAAAACAGCTCTTCCAGTGTGAATGAGAAATAAAACATCCTTATTTGCTCTTTCTTTAAATTTCATGAAGCTGGAAGAAGAGATGCTGAAGCTACTTTTTGCTAATATCAACTATGTGTATGATATTTTTGTTTTTGATCTCCCTTTCTTCATCATCGACCTAATCTATGCACTAGTACTGATTTAACTGTCTAGATGTATGTAGAAATTGCACTATAATAGGAGTTTTGACAGGAAAAAATTGAGAACACAGTTATCGTGCCTGTCATTTGATACTGGCAACTGGAATACAATTAGAACCATATCTTGTCATCCGTAGAATTATATACCTTCAGGTCTATAGATACCTTGAGGATTCTGAAGGAGGATATTCATGCTAAGAAGAATAAAAAATGAAGAAAACAAAATGGAAAAAAGAGTTGGTATCCTTTTACTTCATATTGAGCTCATGATAGTGAATATATGTTGATGGATAGAGACAATATGATGCCTCAAAATGATATATGTGTTTTGTTTATACTGATATCATTATTTCTCAATCAAATTACTTCAGGCATAGGGTATTGGTCATAGGTGGAGGAGGAGCAGTAGGTTTCTCTGCAATTCAGCTTGCTGTGGCTGCAGGCTGCCATGTTTCTACTACGTGTGGAGGAGAGAGTATAAGTCGCATTTTAGCAGCCGGTGCTGAGCAGGCCATTGACTATACCAGTGAGGTGACCTTGCAGTAGTAGTTCACGTGTTTGATTCCATCATGTTATTTTATTTCAACATGATATAGTTGATTGGTTTTTTAAATGGCATTATTGGTGTATTCTGCTCTCTGTCCTTTAGCTAGGGTTGACATGTTTGCTTGTTTACAGGATGCTGAAGTAGCACTTAAGGGGCATTTTGATGCTGTCTTGGATACAATTGGTGTGCCAGATACAGAGAGAATGGGCATTAGCCTTTTAAAGAAAGGTGGACACTACATGACGTTACAGGTTAGGAGCTATCTTACCTTTGTAACCGTGAATCTTCCACTATTTTTTCTTATAAATGCCGAAAAATTGCCACACAGTCTTAAGCAAGATTTCCTGTTCTTTGCGCATAGGGGGAGGCTGCATCGGTGACTGATAGGCATGGACTAGCTATTGGTCTTCCTATGGCAGCAGCCATCTTGCTGAAGAAGCAAATCCAATATCGATATTCTCATGGAATAGGTATTGAGATCTCCTGTAGTTTCTTTGAACTGTTTGGCAGAAATGGGTTTTTCCTGGGTAATTATGAAAATTTTAGAACACCCTTTATCCAAAAACAGGAAGCGAAAAAAGCGAACATGAAAGTTTAATTCATCCCTAACAATATGATATTTTTTTAATTTTTTTTTTAATTTTGTGTTTCTTCTCTCTCATAAAAATAGATATGTTCTTCCTATATGGCAGTGAATTTCAAAACAAAGTAGATAGCATAGCAGGAAAAATAGATTGGTGAAGTTGTAGGTACCATCTCATTATTAGGTGCAACTCCAATCAGATTCTGATTTAGAGACTGTTTGGGTTGGCTTATTTTAGGTGCTTTTAAGCACTTTTAGAGTGTTTGGTAAGTTAAAAAAGTGCTTATAAGCACTTAGTTTTAAGCTAAAATTTCTAGCTTATGGCTTTTGGTGTACAAGTCAAAAATGAAAAGCCAATCCAAACTATTGGTTGAAGAGGTCAGCAGAGGTTATTGTCTGAATAATAGTAGCTAAAGCAACCAGAGAGCTGTTTTAGATTGACCTGGGTTGTGATGTTAACACATCTTTTAAGGCAAGAGGTAAACCAGGGGATGATACCTTCTTCATCTATTTAAAAAATTGTGATGCTCTTTTCAAGTGTATACTATAGTCATTCCGATATGGCAATGACCTTATTTTTTGGAATGGTATAGATATTAGCATATTTCATGCGTATTAACAGGTTTTAGAAGGGCTTTTCAGTGAGAATGACATAGAGATCACTGATCTTCATTAAAGTGGATAAGATGAAGAAACTTTCTTCCATTTTGTGACATCATATACTTTATTTAAAGTAGACGGTGAAGTCATTCTGATATTTTATGACCTTACCATATAACAGATTTTAGAAGGTGTAAGTGAGAATAACATAACAAGCCTGACCTCCATTCTTGTTAATTGGGCTCTCTCTCTTTCTCCTCCTCCTCATTCACAAAGGTTTTCTACGAGGAATAACCTTTGGGTAGTTCAGGACAAATAAGGTATGCAGATTTGTTGAGGTGATTTTGTTCCTAAATCCTATTTGATAGTTCTCGATTTCTATTGTTGATAAAAGCAATTAATTTTATTGATATATTGGGAAACAGACCTGCTGAGTGGACCGAATCACTATGATTGATAATTTTCTAATATATTGTTCTCTGGAGGAGATAGTCTAGCTTTGACCAATATCTAATCTAGATTCCATTCAAATGAACCGCTGGGTGGTCCGAATCAGTTTGGATTGACCTTGATCATCTTTTCACATTTTCATTTATTTTAGAGATATTGATCTCTTTATTATGATAGGCTAATAACGATAAAGTATGCCCAGGGTAACTCTCACTTCAGGTTTCAAAGTGCAGAAACTTCATTCTTTTGTAGCGTGTGACCGCCTTTTTTTTAAAAAAAAAAAAAAGCATGTGACGTGTTTAGAGTGCTTGGAAGAGTGTGGCTGTAGTCGATCACCATGAGAGCATCCTACTACTCATCTGATGTTTCAGTTGGAGAGAGAGAGAGAAATGTTTTTTTGGGGTCATTCATCTGACATTTTGAGTTAAATTTTGTGGCTTGTCTATTATTTGGTATTTATTATTGTTAATAGCTTGAGACTGAAGTGTCAAAAGCTGTGCTATTGAGCCTTATAGGTGCTTTAACTATTGCATTTCTTGTGTTTGCATGATACAGAATATTGGTGGAATTATATGAGGGCTGATGCTGAGGGTTTACATGAGATACGCCGGTTATCTGAGGCTGGGAAGCTTCAACTCCCAGTAGATAAAACTTTCCCAATTTCACAGGTGAGAGAGGCTCACGAGGCCAAGGATAGACGACAAATTCCTGGCAAAGTGGTGCTAGAAATTGACTGATTTAACTGGACGATCTTAACCAACAGTGCGTGGATTCAGTGCACAAGTCTATAATATCTCATGCAATCTGGTATTACACTGAATCCTTGATGCCTATTGCCTCGTATACGATATCATCTCTTTGCAGAATAACCAGACCCAACTTACACTCTGTTGGCATCTATAGGAAGAAAACTGTGCAACCTGTAAATTCTCAGGACATTCTCAATCTTTTTTCTTTTCTTCCAAGTATCCGTCATTGTTTCTATGTTGCGTTAAACATTTAAGTGAGCCATTTATCGTGCTCGTGACAGGAAAATGCATTGCGAATGGTCGTACTATGTCACAGGGGAGATGTCTGTTATTTTTTAGAAAAAAAAGAAATAGATAATTATGTTCTGAATTTGGTTGCAATTTTCAAATTTACTTACTGGTGAATTAAGGGTGATTGCTAAATATCCAAGTATGTGTATAATTTGTCTATTTCTAAAATTGATTAGATCTAAATTTAACAAAAGTAAATTATATATATATCTGTTGTGCAATTACAAGATGTCCTTTCCAACTTGCTCTAAATAGAAGATCCCTTTTCCATGTGCTTTTTATAATTGATAATACAACAAATGTTTCAAGCTGTCATTTTTTTACTAATAAAATATTTACTTGGCTTTTCTCTAGAGATAAATAAGCATTTCACTATTTCATTTTCCTTCTAAAGGCAAAAGTATTGCCTTTTTTTACGTGAAATAAAGTGAAATATCTCTTTTTTTGCTTTATTATCCTATCATCAATCAATGGTGCATTTGTCCTTTTCTGAAGTAAATGTTGGTCAAAGTCCTTTTCTTCAACAAACTCACTCTTGGTAAGGCCAAAAGCACTCTCATTACCCCCACTTTCTCCTTATGCACGAAATATTATATTCCTATTAAATTAACTCTTGTATACCTATAAGGCAACTATTTTTTATTTAAAGATTAAAAGACATACTTGATTAATTGAAGTTAAATCTGCAATATGAATAAAATGTATTCCATCTTTTTTGAGAAGTTATGGGTGTTTTTTAACACTTTTTTCATTTTTTTATTAAGAGTTTTACGATCCTGTAAGAGTTTAAGATCACTGGTTATATATCATATGACATATCATGGGTGATTGTGGATGTATCCAAATTTAGTTAATCAAGTAAAATAATATTTTTAAGGTTGTCCATATTTCGAAATTAAAATTAATAATTTATGTCAAATTCAAAAATATTTTCAATACATCTCTCAAAATTTTAAGATGGTTTAACTCCAAAATTATTCTTATAAATTACCCCTTTATACGTATATAAAAAACATGCTAAAGCTATTAAGTTCACGTGATCTACCACTCTCGATCTCTCCCTAGAGGTGAATAAAATCTACAACGGCTAATCATAATTCACGCGCGGTCAAATGCACATCTTTTTATGTTATGTTGTGCAAAGAAGCATCTAGCTCAGCTAACAATTCAGCCAACGAGGTGTACTTGTTTTAATGAAAAATAGGAGCATTTGAGAACATGCTTATTCTTATTTTCTGGTTCGATATTAAATTGATATATTTTTTAAATTTAACAAACAAAATATATCATATATTAAATTTAATAGTTTGAAAATTGATTGTAGTTATTAATTAGGATAAATTAAAAACTTAGTGATAAATACCTTTTGATCTTTAATAGAGTAAAAGTGAATCGCGTAGATGTAGCCGGCGATTGTAATGCACGGTCATAGATGAAGCGTGAGACAGAGTTATGCTTCTTTTAGAGAGGAGTCACAAAAGTCACGTGCACTCTTGGATTTTCTTTTGTTTTTACTTCCTTCTTTTTCCATGTGAGCTTCCTTCAAATTCACCCCCAAAAATACTGCTTAATTACGATTATACCACTGCCACTATTTATCGTCCGAATAACTCACTCTTATCATCATACGACAAATTGTTATATATATATATATATACATGACTTTTATTTATTATTTCCTTTGTCTAAGTTATATGATTTACTCTTTTCTTTAGTCTGTATAGATAAGAATGATATATATATATATATTTTAAGTAACAATTTAATTTCTAAATATTTGTTTCTTTCGATGAAATAGCTTGTACACTCACACAAATATTTATCATTTATTCTACATTAAATTTTTTAAATATCTTTCTTTTTCGAAGATGATGTCATATCGAACTAACTCATACAAAATTAAAACTGAGAAATTATTATTATTATTATAATCAAAGTTGACCATCTTCTTATCTTGTGAAATATGACAACCTAACTTAGAAGCAGCACATGCTGTGCAAGCTAGACTAAAGAGGAGGTTTTATTTGTGTGTTAATAGATTTTGGCTTAAATTACGATCCACAACTCATAATTCATAAATTAATAATTTTGGTTTCGTTTTTTAAAAATTACAATTTATATTGATTTTGGGATGAGAATGATAAGAGAAATTAAATTGAGATCGCATATTAGAATAGAAAATTAGTAAATAGCGAAATATTTTCTTACTTTTTAATAGAGTTTAGATTTTTCGATAGACTGAAGCATCGTATCTATTATATAATTTCTTACTTTAGTTATATGTTACTATATGTTGTTAATTATATTTCGATGATTACATTATTTTGTTGGTGTTAATATTTGTGTTTACAAGTTTAATTTGAGACACTTAAAATTATAGATTCTACTAAAACAGTACTCTGCCTCTAGAATATAAAAATAAAATTTATTTACACTGTTGTTGTTGGCGAGTTTACCGTTGAGAGACCTCATGATGTTTATTTACTTAATCTCTTTAATTATGGCTAATGTTTTGGGCTTTGTTTAATTGATTATAGAGTTCCCTTTTTGTCATTACTGTGAATCTAGCAATATTATATTCTTTATTAGGCAATTAGCCCTACCCCAGCAATCATTTAAAAGACAAAACAACATTTCAATATCTTTCTTTCACAAAATTATATGATATTTTGATATATCATAAAAATTCAATAAATTTATTTATTTTTTTAAATTTTGTATCAGGTTAATTTATAATAACATATTTAATAAAATCTCATAAATGAATTTAAATAGCATAAAATATACGTAAATTTTATGTCAAAATGAGACGTATAAATTAAAACAGAATGAGTATTACTCTCTTCTTCTAATATTTTTTGTCATGATTTCTATTTTTAGAGTCAAATTATAAGAACTTTGACTAACATTTTAAGATGTATTTTTTCGTCATATTTTTATGCGAAGAATTACAATTTATAGTATTTTGCAATATAATTTTTGAATATCTAATTTTTTTTCTTGTTTAAAATATCAAATTTATGTAATCTAATTTAACTTTGAAAATTAATTTTCAAAAAGCACAATATAGACAAATAAAAAAGGCATAATACATATATTGGACCCTAAACTAGACTTCAAACTTTCATAGTGCACAAATAAGCACTTTAACTATCCCATCTTTCAATAAATAAACACGCGATTTCTACCTGGAAAAAGCATAAAATACACGCATTCTCTGTGCGAGTGAGGGGTAATTTCCGAGGCCCACAAAAGTAAAAAAATACTGAAATGACAATTCTACCCTTAATGAATCTCTTTTTTATTAATTAAAATTAATTTTATTTTTTTTTATTTCAAAATGACATGTAAAATATTTTTTTTTTAATTTCAAAATGACATGTAAAATGTTTAATTAGTTGGCAGCCACTGATTGACTCATTAATATACATGGGAGCATTTGGCATTTTAGCTTCAAAAATTACGTGCTTATTTATTGAATTAAAGTTAAAATTTGAAACTAAGTATTGAATCCAATATATATATTATACTAATAAAAAAAGTGGACTTAAGTGAGTACGTTAACCCAATAATCATCTAAAGACAAAACAACATTTCAATTATCTTCTCATTTTTTTCCTCCCATAGCTTTGGCTTTCATTTTCTGTTTCTTCTGCCACAAAAAAACACAGCTTCTCTACACTTACAGACCCCCAAATCCATGGCTACCTACAACAGCAATACCAAGAAACCATTATCACATTACTGAAAACTCCTTCATCTCTTCTTTTTTGTATACTTTCTTCTTCAAATGAAACTCACCAAATCCATCCTTAGTCCTAGCCATGCTCGGCATGACCCACCTCTTACTCTTCCCACTTCTCTCAGTCGGAAGCTTAAAGCTAATGGCAGTATTAAAGGCGGACAATCCCCAGCTACGTTTCCTACTACCACCGGAAAGAAACGAGGGTCGAGTTTTGATAACCCGGAACCTTCGTCTCCGAAGGTGACTTGTATTGGTCAGGTGAAAATGAAGACGAAGAAGAAAGTTAGGCAAACACGGAATTTGTCTAATAGAAGGAGTGATATAAGTTTCAGGAAGTTGGAAGAAGAAAAAAGGGGAGTTTTGATTCAGAATCAGAGGAGTTCTAGTGTGCATTTGCAGGCGCAAGATCAATGTGCGGTGGCGCATAGAAATCAGAGATGGGTACATTTGCCAGTAACGATATATGAAGCTTTGAGAGAGTTTAGCTGTTTGTTTCCATGTCGGTCTTCGTGTTTTTCGAATGAGAAAGGAAAACAACAAGATAAAGTTAATGGATCTAGAGATGTTGATAATAATAATGGGCAGAGGAGATGTGAGGATGTTGTTGCTAGATGGCTAGTTGCATTACAAGATAGTGAAACAGAAGAAAAAACCAGAGGGATTGAGTTGATGGTGACGAATAACTTGAAAGAAAACGACGATGAAGAAGGAGAGAAAATGCAAAGTAGTATGAGAAGCTCAAGAAGGCATGTGTTTGAAGGTATTGAGTTCAAGGATCATGACGATGAGAGTGTTGAAATGAAGGAAGAGAAAGGTAGAGTTAGCATTTGCATTCCACCTAAAAATGCTTTGCTTCTTATGAGATGTCGATCTGATCCTATGAAAATGGCGGATATTGCTAATCGATTCTGGGAATCACCTGCTCGGGAAGAAACTAATGAGAAAGAAATCGGAGAAAATGCGGAGGTGAAAGAAGTAGAAGATACAGAAAACACTGAATGCAATGTACTACAGGAAACTAGTGTTTCTGTAGATCTGGTAGAAAATGAAGAAGCAGTAGAAGTCACAGATAGTAGTAAGGATGAAGAAAAGCTCAAATGCGATGAATTAACGCCAGAAACAGAGGAACAAGATGAAGAAGACAGTGAGATGAAGGGACTTGTAGCAGTAGCTGCAGTAGAAGTAAACTCCATTGTTGATCAACTCCTTGAATCAGAGAAAAAAGAAGAAGAAGAAGACAGCAGCATTCAGAGTTTTTCATCTTTCTCAGAAAACGAAGAAGATGAAACATTGGAAGAAGAAGAGAGGTTCAAATCAATTATTAAGAAGGTGATCGAAGAAACACTCTTGTTAGAACACATTGATAGAGAAGATGCAAAACAAATTCAACACGAACACAAACACGAAGAAGAAGCAAAATCTGATGCAGTATTTTCAAACAATGAAAACGAAAAAGAATCGAGAAAACAACAGAACGAATCAATTCTTCCAGATTGCTTGCTTCTAATGATGTGTGAGCCCAAGCTATCCATGGAGGTTTCTAAGGAAACATGGGTATACAGCAGCACCGAAGTAAAACAAGCTAAAACAGTGACGACAAAGAAGAAGAAGAATGAAATTCCCGAGGATCCAAAGAGAAGGCGAAGCATTGACAAGAGTAAACAACAACATCTCCTCCTCCAACCACCAAGGTCATCGTGTTCTTTCCCGGCGACCGGAGTTTCGCCGGCGATATCCATGGCAACGATGATAGAGCAGAAACTGGTAAACGCAGTGGCTTACGAGCCGTTAGTGTTGACAAGGTGCAAGTCGGAGCCGATGAGGACGGTGGCGGGGGGGACGGCTAAGCTTGTACCGGAGACTTGTTTCTGGAAGAATATGAAGATTGAGCCACATCGACGAGCTACATTTGGATTCGGGGCGGCTGGAGTCGGGTTTTGAGCTGACCCGAATTGTTCAAGAATTTACGCTGTGATCAGTTGTACTTTTGCTCATTTACTCAGGTTGTACATTTTATTTTAAACCTTTATCAGGAATGTATTTTTAGTTTTTGTAGAAGAAGTAATCCTTTTTCAGTTTTCTCTTAATTTTATTTTTGCTTGTAATTTTATCAGTTCTAACAAATTATTTTTTGTTCATATAATTATCGTAGGTATTTAAATTTTTTTCAGTTAGACGCATTATCTTAAAAAAAAACTCACTTAATACTCAAATTCAAAAAAAGCGTTAGTGTAGCATGTAGCTAAGAAATGGACTTGACTAGAAAACTTGACCATATCTAAACTAAGCACTAATAATTGTATTATTTTAAAATGTAATTAATACATTAATCTATAGTTATAGATACGTATTATAGACATATCTAAAGGGACAGCCTGGTTTTGTATGCTAACCAGTGGTTTGTTTATTAGTATCATGTGACACAGACGATTCCCAACTAAAAACAGATCTAGAATTGGAAATTAATACAAGTAAAAGATGAAAAATGTGTCTTTGTATCTTTGGGAACTATAGATTTAAACATGACTATAATATCAAATTGTATAGAGTTTTGTAAATTCGGAATTAAAATAAATTTTTTCATATTGTGATAGTTATAAGTAACAGGTAAAATGATAATTTATCAAAAATGTATTAAATACGTTGATTATAGGAGATTATATATACTTATTGAATAGTTTGAACAAATCAAGTTTTAAAATACAATATTAATAAAAGAAATATCGATTAATTTGACTATTAAAACGTTGATATTATGAGGTAATCAATGTCTCTTACTATATTTGAAGATTTATGTATTAAATTTTATATTGATAACCCCCCCCCCCCCTCCCCTCTCTCTCTATATATATATATTAATTAATTAATAAAATTGACCTCAAGAGGTCGATATATTAAAATAAGTTAATAAATATCGATTTCAAAAGGTCGATAAACTTAGATTATTATTTAAAGAGTATCGATTTCTCAATGTCGATATTTATTAAGGGGCATTTAATAGTTTTAATTGATAATTAGGTTGGTATGTTAAATATATATAT